TCTGAAGTCTGAAGATTTCAATGGAGTGAGAGGAATTACCCCACAAAACTATGCCATAATTCATATGTGAGTGGAACAAAACAAAATATGAACTTCTCAGGGCGTCAAGAGACAATACTCTATTTAGCTGTCGAAAAGCAAATATACTCTTACACAGCTTCTTACTCAGTTCATCAATGTGTGCATACCATGATAAATTCCCTTCAAGGGTGAGTCCTTCTGGGTCTTGCTTTCGTTTAATTTCAACTGATTTGTTGTGAAACACAGAGACGCCTGTCTCAGGGTATCATCAGTAATTGATGCTAATTCGATTATGTTTTTCTGAGACGTTATTAGAGTTGTGTCATCTGCGAAAAGAACACATTTACCTGATGACATAAAATTACTGAAGTCATTGAAATATATCAAGACTAGCAATGGTTCCAGAACGGATCTCTGCGGTACACCATTCATGATAGTTTTATTGTCAGACATGTTTCCATTTACATACACAGATTGGGTTCTGTTACATAAGTACGACTAAAATAAACCATTACCAAAACCTGATACTTCAAAGGAGGACAATACTGTTAACGTTTTGGCATATTTTTATGCATATCCAGAAGCTTCCATTCGCAGTGCAGAACAAGATTTAGGTGTATCACATGCTTCAGTACAACGAATTTTTGGGTTTCATTTGAAAAAATGAACTTTTGACTACTTTTATGCACAATGGAAAATGTTTGGAAGCGGTAGAAGTTTTTTACAGAGGGTCGGGAAGATGTGAATGATGACGACAAGAAGAAAGGTTGCAATTGAGTTGGTTTTTTGAAAGATCATTATCGCTAGTTTTCACATATTTGCTGGAGAAAATTATCTGAGTTCTGAAAGAACTGATTCCAGGTGATGTTTTTTTTTGAGGTGCTCAATTGCTGTTTTACCTGTTATGCTGTGTTTTATGCTGGTTTGTTGCTGTTTGTCCTGCAATATATTTAAGTGGATAACGAGCCCTAATGAGATGCAGACTATCGTTACAATTAGAGTGGTGATTTTGAAATCCTCCGTGAAATAATTAGCTTCACCTTGGACTATTTTTCCTTGTTTTTTCAATGTTTAATAAAAGCCACATTTACGAAACATACCGTTTACTATAATTTGCTGAAATTACAAAGACACTGACATTAAAAATAATTGTTTGTTGCCTCAGAACATTGACAGAGAATTCTCAGACATGTGTGAGAAAAATGTTTGGACAATTCTCAGGGAATAAATATTCATAAAGCTAAAAATAACTGTAATTTATTCTCATGGCATCGCTCTGTAACCGCGAATAAAAGTCCCAAAAAGAATAAGTTTCTCCAACGAGATTGAAATTCATATCTTTTAATGATAATTTCTGATTGAAAACAAGTATACACCTCTTCTGAACAGGTTTTTGGGGGAAAGAATCGACACTACAAAAACTGGTATTTTAAATGAAATTTGCCGATTTCACTTTCGACTACTTTTATGTAACGATTTCTGTTGTGAACAGAATAGACTTTTTCATTCTCAAGACCAAATGTTTTGTTCAGATCGAGAAAACGGTGAGATCAAACGAAAAACTATCACACACTAAGGATATCTTATAGGGCGTTCCACAAGGATCAGTACTGGGCCCGATTCTTTTCCATATTTATGTAAATGACCTTGTTACTCTTTCAATTCAAGGAATTTTTACGATCTTTGTTGATGATCCCACGCTGCTTTGGCATGTAAAAAATACTTCTAATATGATAGAAACTATCTCTAGTGATTTAGAACCAGAACTATTTGTGCTTTAATATTAAAGAAACAAACCTACCCACCTTCAGCTGTAATATTAACAATTTATATTTGAATGAACAAATGCTTGAGTAACTCCTGAAAGGGACTATAAAAACTATTTTGTCTACAAACTTTGTTAAATTTCATTTTCTATTGTTACATTTTATCTATTAGATATGTGAACTTAGTTTTGCTCAAATTGTGTTTCTGGGTATTTGTGTTTTTGAATTTTTTCTTTTATTCTTTGAAGTGCTATATGTACCAGATTTTTTAGCAAGCTTTGTCAACAAGATTGTATTTCCTTGGACAATAAAGTATATGTCTATCTAATCGATGGATTGACTCGCATTTGGCCCAGATTCTAATCCAATTGAACAAAAAATATTGATAGCTGCTTTCATTTTCACCTGCTTTGAATCGAATTATCATAATCAATCTCTATTTTTATAGGGACCCAGAATTAATATATGAAAATGAATACAGACAGTTGTCACCTGTTTACTTCAGAGTTCTATAAAATTGGTCAATATATTTACTTTTTGTCCCGCACATATTAGAGAAAAGTCATTGGAAAACGAAAATTAATCAAATATTTCACCGACAAAATCGAAAGTTTCTCTTCAGATACGGAAGCATCTTCAATGTTCTCAACAAGTCATTCATTTGATTGATTGATTATTATTAAAAATCAAATTTAAACAATCACTACGAATAACGTCGATTATTTCCTTTTGAAAAAGTCTTGATTTGTGTCATTCTTGGTTTTGGTTCTATATTACGAGGTATGTTAAAAAAACGAGCTGAATTTTCATTTTTCTCAACAAATATTTATTAAATTTTTGGTATGTCCTTGTTTTTCAGCGATTCGGTTTTTATCTCTCTAATCGTCACAAAACGCCATCTTTTCATGGGTGTCTCGAATCTTGGAAACAGGAAAAAGTCGCAGGTGGTCAAATCTGGTGAATACGGTGGCTGATGCATGATTACGGTGTTGTTTTTGGTCAAAAAATTACGAACAAGCAATGGCGAGTGATCGTGTATAAGAAAAAACATGCCTCCATTTTGTTTCATGAATTGTCAATACGAAATTCTTATCTATACAGAAAAGGCTAATGAAAATAATTTTCTTCCGGACAAAAACAGATTTGTTCTATTTTCACAAGCTCACTCAGTATATTATCATTTAGTATGAATTCATTTTCATTTTCGCTGATCTGCTTCACAGGAAAAGTTCACGTTGACACGAAAAATTAAACAGTCGATTGAAAATACGTTATTCATTAACATTTCAAGGTCGAAACAAGTTTGTACAGGAAATCTCGCCGACAAGAATCCCATACACAATGTAATACGATCTTAGAATCATGACTAGGTGTAACGCCTCTAGGTGTAACGATCAAATTCCAGTTGTTTCAGAAATGCCATTCAATTCACGTCCGTGCGAATCATAAAAAAACAAATGAGATGACACCGTGGCATGGAAATGGAAATCAAACGCTCATAAAATACCACTATCGGCTTTTACCTTAACAAGATGTCGGTGCGACATTTGTTTTGACACGAGTATATACCTCTCTTTGATGGTTTCCCAACAGTAAACAATCGTAAATTATCATACTTCCTGGTACTTGTAGTGTTTTTACGCAGATTATTGTTTGAAACATTGCAACATACACTAGATTCATCCATACTTTTCAGAAACTACTGTGCCAGATTTTGCAATACTGTTCTATAATCCTAAAAAAATTGTTATAATTACAACGTATATCAAGAAATAAAAGTACAGTGAAGAATAAATGCACTTTAATAAATAAGTTTCAATACCAAAACACTTCAAAGTATCATATCGTCGCTTGTGACGTCACTTTCGAGTAGATTATATGTAAACGTTAAAAGTTCTTTCATAAATTTGAGTACAATATTGTGTGAAACAAGATCCTTGTACTCCCCGGACAAAGTTTTTTGTTGTAGTCAACACCGTAATAAAAAAGAGTATGGTCATAATAGCGCCATACGTAGAAGCTGGGACCAAAATTAAGAAGAAGACGAAGAAGTATGTGCCAACGTAGAATGGAAAAGCCCAAAGTCATTAATCTCTAGTTGAATGTATAGAAATAAATGACAGCTGACATAGAAAGTGGGTTTTGATAACACTCCGCATGTTTTCACAGTGTGATCACTGGAAAAGCCTCATTGGTTAGCTGGATACTCAGTGTTTCTGCCAAAGTAACGTCAGTGACAGTTCAGAGACGAAATAATTAATCTTGCAAAGTATATAAACTAAAACATATCTGGTCCCCTGAATGTCCCTTGTAGACGACTGAATCAGGTCAAAACGACTGCCATACTGAAGTCGTTTTGACTTGTTCGAACAAAAATTAAAAGTTGACTGGAACAGTAAAAAATATTACAGTTGTCGATGTCATTTGTTAATTTATGGATACATTTTGATTCATGTGGAACATCGTTACAGTTTAGTTCTTGGATATTCTGTGCATTTCCTCTCTTGAAGATTCATTTTACGAATTCGTCAATGTATATTTATATATTTTGATTACAGAGGCTAGGGTGTATCTATAGCAATTATCCATTGACGTAAGTAGACCGTGACACGGCGATATAGAATATCGTTTATTTATGTTTTTTGAAATGATTTTCTTTCCATAATTACAGATAGTTGTTCGTTACTTTGAAAACTCCATATTCGTTGATTAGGTATATTTTATTGGAATAGTGTTCGAATTATTATCAACAAACTACAAGCAGTTCATTATATTGACTCTTTATAACTCATTTTATGATGTGAATATCGCAATTAACCTTTTGACTCTTATATATTGCTTGATAATTGTGAACTTTACGGACCCCCTACGCTATGAACTTTGGAAAAAATGATTTAGTCTTGTTAGAACAAAAAGGCGACGTTTCCGTTTCACATTAATTGTTTTCATCTGGCAATTTCAATTTTGTTCGTAAGTGAATTGTCTATGTATCCTTCAGCCAAATTGGTAGACTTCCAGCCACCGTGCCTCTTAAAATTTGTGATGTTTCCACCATTATCAGCAAATAACGTCGCTGAAGTTTGGCAATTATAAGACATTCACGAACCTAATCATTGACCGTCTCGTATGATATCTCCACAACCGCAAAAGTAACTGTCTCTGACTCACACCATCCAAAACCACTAAGACTAACGACCGTTTCTTTCTTTACAGTTATGGAAGCGAGAAACGCTGCTAATTTAGAATCGACAGTCACCGAATCGGAACTGCCTAGCTACACCACAGCTTCCGGTCTTCCCACGTACGAGGAGGCCTTGGAACAGCTGAAGAAGGTCAAAGACTTCACCACGTACACTGCCAAGCGGATGGACTCCAGCGATTGGACGCCGCATACGCCGCCGACGCCAGCGACACCCGCGACTTTGTCCGTCGCCAATCTGTTCGCGGCCTACAAGGGTAGTGCGAATGACAGGGGTAGTTCGGTGAAGAACTCGATGATAGTTTGATTGGTGTTAGGTGATGATAGCAAGGTCTACGCCTTGCCTTGGACGTTGTGATCGAACCCTTGGATGGGTTGACTGACGACAGAGGTGAAGAAGAAGAAGAATCGATTGTTGGCAGCGATGGACTGCCTTGGAAGTACTGGAGATGGTTCCTCACGTGGTGTTCCATATGTATTTACTCCGTGGTTAAGAAACCTCCCGAAAAAATGATAGACGTGACACGAAGAACTCGCTAATCCTTTTGATTTGTCGCATATGGACTGCTTCAGCAGCAGGAAGTAATGGAGGTAGTTGGCGCCTTTTATCTGTTGAAAAATCCTACCAAGGAAAATTCTTACATTATGATTTCCTGAAATAACACGAATATCTCATTGATCATGCTCATTTATCGCAATGCCTTGAACCATGTGGACTGCTGAATCCTTGGTAGGTTCCTGGAAGTATCAAAGCTTGTTTCTCACGAAATCATCAATAGGTGTTCAGTTTCTGTTGAAATAACGTACCGAGGAAGGTTCAGTTGCATTTTGGGAAAGCTAGAGCTGATTCCTCATGTAGTGACTCTCATATGTTGACGTTCTGGCGAAAAAATGCCCCAACGAAGATGCTTCTGTGAGTATTAGAAGATGTGACACCAACTATTAACTTTGCTGATTTGTCGCAGAGCGTGAAATCAGATGGACTGCTGACGCACTGGAAGTATGTAAACCCTTCCATCATTCTAATCCACGTTGGAAAATCATATCAAAGAAGATGTGTTTGGAGGAACTGCCATATGTCACCAAAGAATCAACTAAACTCACAGGTTTGTTATTGTGTCGTTAACCAAGTGTGCTATAGAAGCCCTGAAGGGTTCCTGAAAGGACTGAAACTTGTTCAATGGAAACAAAACACAAGAAGGGCGATTCCTGAGAAAATCAATCATCTAGGGATGGATGATTAGAGATGGGTTTCTTTTACAGATAAAGGTTTTCAATTGACCAAATTGAGTTGATCATACTAATGAATGTGTTTCATGGACTTCATGGAATATTTTCTTATTGAATTTGTATCATAGTACCGGTTTTTGGCCGAAGATGGGGTACAGATACTCTCCAATATTTGGATAAAGGATGTAAAAAGTGAGCAGCTTTGTCACAGCATAATCAATTTCGAAAATACCCATGAACATAGTCGAAATTGTAAAAAAATATTCTTCAACGCCACATTGATGTCATTTTGACTTCATCTGAGGTTAAATTAATTTTGTTTCATTATAGTTTGCACTGGAACTGTAATTAGGCATGTTAAGGAATGATTCAGAAGATATTTTGATTGAAAAAATCTGGGAAATTGCTAAAAATTAAATACTCATAATTCAAGTAAATATGATGTCACAAAGTCCGTTCATTTAGGTAATTAGAGATATTTTTGCGATATGACGAAATCGATGAAAGCAAATGTGATATTCATGTAAAACATTTGAATTCAAAATGCGTGGCCAAATATTGTTTTTCGAACTTTTTTCCGCAAGTTGAAGTGAGTGTTTATTTCTTTGTACTTAGTCTTCAATAATGGTGCTTTTTTTAAACATTCGACCTAGTTAACACTTTGTTTTATACATTCATGGTTCGATAAGTTCGAGAAGATAACAGAACAATATAATCCAATTCAAAATAGCTGTTATTCCAAATGACATGTTGATGAATCTGTAAATTTTCCGCATGTTATAACAATTACATTATCAATTTAAATTGGCGTCAGTACTAATATGCCTCGATTCATTGAAAACATTTCTAAATGAGACGTGTGTAGTAAAATCCATTGTCGTAAATCTGGAGAATCCCTCAATTTTGTTTGAAGCTCGTGACAACGATATATTCTGTATTTTAAGCAACCTCGAGTTTGTGCTATTTCATCGATAATATTCATAGACCCGGTTGAACACCATTCTTCAAAACAACAAGAATTTAAATAAAATTTACATTCCACTATATAGTGGACACGTTTATACCTACTGAAGAAATTATTTCTTTCCATAATTCGTGTCAAATGTTTGGAATAAAGTTTTCATTTTTTACAATGTCGATGGATGGCCACATATTATCAAACTTGTAACCGTTTATTTGACTTCATCATTTGAATCATCTTCGAATATAAGAGAAAGCTCGTGCAACTCCTAACTATAAGAGGTTGGTTCTGTCTCGACGAATATGTAAATAAAACAATTAAATAATCGAATGTGATTGATATCACGTAGGCTAAAACAGTCAAAAGATGTTGCAAGTGTTTTATAACTTTCTTTCAACATTATAATTAGTTACTGTAAAATAATCGATGCCTTCGGAACATTTTTCATTGGGGAAACAATCAACTCCGGAGATTTTGCGAGACATACCGAAATCAAAGATTGCTTGAGGCGGAATTGATTGTGAAATATATATTATCTTGTACACGAATATCGGAAATATTGTTTATCGAAGATTTTGAAACTCTTATACTATCAGTCTTGACGAACACGAAAAGTATACTTTAGAGATAGTATATCGATAATGAAATGAACTTCTCCGTTGCAGACTAATCAGTAACTTTTAATGAATGTATAGTTACGAGATTTGCATAATATTTGTCAGTAGTATTTTTCAAAATCGAGTGAAATGGCAGCACTGTAAAACTTATTCATTTCGCATCATTACATTTTCTTCTTCTTAATTTATTCTTGTTGTTCTGACGTGCGTGAGACATTGCCAACTTGTGTTTGAGGTCGATTTGATGGTTAGTTCCAAAATCACGGAACAAATACTTTATAGCTAAAATTTTGTTGAAGAGATATTTGTATAAGTAGTTATTGAATGTTTAAATATGTCGTATATGCATTCATGAACTTTTTCTGCACTACAAAAATCATTTACATTTTGGAGCGTGGTTTGAAAGAGTGGGTAAGACAGAAAAATTTAGTAGTTAGTTTCTAATGAATGAAACATTTCCTTAGAGAGGAACTAACGAATAATATCGGTTTCATCATTTCTTTTCCGGAAAGTGTAAAGGTCTTTTATTTTATGGTGAGGATGTCATGATGTTTTCCTGGAATTTCAAATGATCTTCAGTGTAAGAATCATCAACATGGGAAATCAACATATAATCTGAAATTGGTTCTGAATGCCCTGGTATGATATAATTCACTGAATATCTTTCAATTCGAGAGAAACAAATATTTAATCTTGACCTTACGATAATCCTAAACATGTTTTTTATTCAGTAACTATTTGTTTCAATATGCGGTCCTTGAGAAGTATCATTAATGTATTCATGCAAATCACATTAGACTGTCGCAGATAATAATGATTAATATGTGAAGTAATGTAATGAAACACAATTCACGTCTTTTTTTTTTTGTTGAAGCCTGCTAATTTTCGTACATCTGACTTTTATCTATTTATTGATTCGACTAGAATATTCTATTGATGATAACCTGAATTTAATATGAACTGAAAACATATTTTATATAAAGTCATTTGAGAACATTTCCTACAATGTGATAATTAGTATGGTCAACTCAATATTTATTTTTGGGCTGTTGAACAAGATTTTTCCATTAAGTGTGTAGACGATAAGTGTATATAAAACGTTGATTTGAATTATCAACGTGTGAGTGCGAATCATTTCTATTCACAAAAACATGTTTGGAAGTGACAATATTTAATTTAGGCAAATACTTAAAAAGGCTGTGTTAGAATAAGTGGTGTAAGATTATGTATAATGTGATCGCTTTGGGTAACAATAAATCTTTCTTCATCATAACCTTCAGCAATGTTCAAAAGCACTGATATTATACCGTCACTTTCATCATATTCCACTTTCATATTCAAGCTTCAATATTAATCAAGTGCGTTAGTCACGATTTCGGAATTGAACCATCTTTTAAAATTGCTAAGGTTTTAAATATCGAACCATGACAAAAGGGTGGTTCAACACATATAACTCAATTTAAGCCCACTGGGTAGTGAATTTAGCTATCGGAGTAGAATTTGCAATCACTAAGTGGCGAAGTTTTGAAAAACTGGCTACAGCCAACAGCACAGATGATTTTAAATATCGTTACCTCCATTTTCAGCCTCCATCGTATCAGTATTGAATCTTGAGGATATACTAGTTTTTCAAGGTTCAAAACTTCCAATCTGCGTTCTACTGATCTATGTTCGAAAAGATAAGTCACTGAAGCTTTGACATTTGACGTACTTGTCATAACCTTGTCTTTGAAAAAGAATCAGAGCAAATTGCCAACAAATCTCCAGAATTGTTTCTGCTTTTATGAAGTTCAACAAACCCTGTTGGATTTTGTTGATCTTCAAACTCAAAACTGGCCACAGAGGGCTCACTAATTTCAATATAATTTTTCGAGGTTTGATAGCATTTCTATCAATCTTTGAGTCACACCTGTCATAATTGATGAAACTTCAAAGCTGTGAATTCTGTGCTCAAGACTCAACGAATCAGTTTCATTAACGAGCTTGTCAAGCTTTGAATGTCAAAGCAAATTACTGTTGCTACTCAAGCCCTTAAATCACAATAAGGTTAAGTCATGGCAGTGTTACCATTGGTATTATATTTGCTCTCATCATGAGAAGCAGTACAGAATAAGTAGGTTGGCAAAGCTGTCATATCTTCATGGCAGTATTGATTATTCGTTCTGCCATTTTTTTCAATGGAGCGAAATTTGAACAACTTTCAAAAATATGTTGCATTCCTGCTGCACATTGCTTTACTGCTGGCAGTACTTCAATCAGTTCAATCCCTCTTGACTACTGCACGTCACTTCATAAACGACTTCAGTGGTGAATAAATTGAATTTTGTAACCAAGGAATAGAGGCTTATTTTACCCAAAGTGGCAGGTAGTTGAATTGTATTCTTTATGAGCTAAACAAATTGGGAGGAATGCCAAATGAATACTGCTAAGAAGTTATTTCTTATTGCATAATACTGGGGTCATAAAAGTTCATGAAATGTAAATAATCTTTGTTGTGAGTTTGGTTCTTTGTTCGGTCTTGTGAAGCTCAAGAAAAAACTGCTTTAGTTCCATAGAGATGGACACATTTATTAATATCCAACAAAGTGTCAATTACTGTCAACATTATACGATATGTTATTGAGTAAATCCGTGAACGACGAAGAGTCATGTGATTTTTCTGCCCAATTTATTGTTCTATAAATTTTCCAATATGAAAACGACTCTTCCTGTTTGTTAGAAGGAACAAGTGATAATTAAATTTAAGTCTGATGACGCTCGAAGTCAACTAATCATTATTTCAGATGATTTTGTAAATATTTGTTATTTATGTGGTAGCGATAATATCATTAAAATAACGTTTATTATAATGGTTGTTTCATTTACTGGTTGTTGTCAATAAGTGCAATGGATAATGACTGCATTGAAGTGGAACTTAATTCATGATAGGCTGGTCAAAGAGGTATCAGAAACAGAGGAGTGCAAACAGTGCATTTTTTTAATGCCACCACCCTTTTCATTTTTTGAACGGGTCAACTCCAAAATTTTGAAAATTTTCCGAGATATTAAGAAAAAACTGAAGCCCCATTTTTTTTCACTTAATTGTTTATAACTTTTGTAATTTTTATCGGCGTGTTTCCGGACCTCTCCTTAAACTTTCTAGGCAAAAATACGAATCGAATGACACCTTGGTCGTAATTTTTGGACAGGGCTGAAAAATGTTACAAAAAAAGTACATGTGAACTAGACTTCAGAAAGATGTGTCACAAAGCCCCCTTTCCATTCAATTTTTTTCCCAGATGGCGTCCAGTCGCCATCTTCAAAGGTTCATCTGTCAATTTCACTTCAAAATGAAGTATTCATGCATTAATTCTATAATCCCAAATTTTAATTTTTTGTGTTGACCCGTTAAAAAAATTAAAGGGGGGAACATTAAAGAAATGCACTGTGTGTATAAAACAGTTGTAGCAAGTCTAAGAGATGGTTTAGCATCAAAAATTCAATCAGTACCTATATAAAAAAACGAAAACAATAGCAACACAATACAACAAAAAACAAGGCACTCAAAAGGAAAGCCATAAATTATTTGCAAAATATAATCATACGCAGTTTCTTTCAAAAGATAAATTCAGGCATCACCATGATAACAGTCATGCATATATTCATCTCTTCTGTAAAAGCATTCATTATTGAGACTTTTTTAGGTAATTTTAAAACGTGTATAGGACGGCAGTTGGTAAGATATTGCATAAATTGATGTCTAGAAAATTCTCAGAAGATTTCTGAAGATTGAACTTAGCAGGTCGTATAAATGGGAATTAGAAAACCGCCCTCAATTAATTGTACCTCCAGCAGCGATTAAAAAAATAAAAATTGATACAAGGGTCATGATTTCCAGTTCTCACAACAATGGGCGACGTACTGCTTTCTTTTCAGCAGAAGTAGATTTTCTCTAAAGAATTGTCCCGTAACTAATATGCGAATGCAAAAAGGCAGCGATGCGTTATTGGAAAAGAATATTGGCATATGCGTTTTTTCCATATTAAGTTCGAGAGTTGAGGGTATTCTTATCTGTAGAGTATGTTTTTGATTTCAACGAGACTGAAAACAAAAATTGTTTCAGTCAAGAATCATATCTGAAGTGACTGCAATGGAAATTTCAAAACTTCGTCTTCTGTATTGATATTTATCTGCTGGTGTAAAGCCTGCTGGATATCTGTAGGAACCCAAACCAGAAATCAGTTTCTGTTTTGCATAATTCGACTTCGAAATGTCGCTAATTAATTGTTTTTCACTATCCGAATAACTGATCGTCCACTTTAGTTTCAATAATTCATCAAGGTCGAAATTCAACGAATCTTTTCCACACAAAGCAGTCAAGAGAATTGATTTAATTATTTTGGCTGCTATAGTTTTCCCGATTTTTTTATTTTTCACAAATATACAGGTGATTTTTGCCACTACCTCAAGAATCCATATCAAAACTAATCACGCTCTTTTAAAATAAGCGGGAAAATGTAATTGAATATTCGCTTGCTATTAAATAATCATAATTATGAATCGATCTGAAAACACCACGTCCCTCAGCAGTTCCAATTAGTTGTGAAGATAATGTTTCACACAGGTTTTACTAGTCTATCATTCTTTTTGTCTGGCTATCAATACGTGACTAATCGCACACAACTGATATTTCATTTTCTGTTTGAACGGAATTCTCGTAAATATTCCAGATAAAGATATAGGAAATTAACAGCGTCCAAACTGAGAGTAATTGCGTTTTCTTGGTATCCTTAATGGAAACGGTATTTTCCTGTGTTTCTACTAAAAAATACAAAAATGGTATCAATCTTCAGAGTCCCTGGCGCCATCTAGAGGTGAGAGGTGCTACTATGAAATGGATCGATGAAGTTTTCTTCATGGAAGTTGCAATGATTTGTTTGGCATAACTAGCAGCATTGTCTATAGACTAACGTAGAAAACGGATTGCTTAAATGTATTTTATTATTTTCAAGACAGTCAACTACACTTACATTAATATTAGACCATTAAACAAAATATAAAAATTATATTCTAACTATGGAACTATGGAATAACTATAACATAACATGGAACTACATAACTATGGAATAGTTGAAAAAAGGTGTTAGAAACCTTATCTGACAGACCAACTTCAGCAAACTCAACTGTCATTATAATATAATGGCATTTGCCATTATATAACAAATATGTGCAGTGTATTGCGAGGCTTTATTTTGCGTTGTAATTGCCCGTTGTGCAAAGTCATTCAATGTGTGGAAGTTTTATCAGAAAAGCGAAGTGGGGGAGGGCCCCTTTTATAAACGCCGGTATCCAGGCCGGAATCTACACATCTTTGTTACGAGTTTATTTGACATAAATTGCTTTCTTTCTTTCTTTTGAGGATTTCCATATTTTTTGCATGAAAAAGCCAAAACGTTCGTTTAAAGGTGATTGACAATGTTTCATGATGAATTTCACCAGTTCGGACTTTCATTGTCTAATATATGAAACGATTCGAAATTCCTGAAACAACTAAAAAAGAAGAATTGAAAATGAATAGCTGAAAATAACAATTATATTAAGCAAAAAAATAACCTGAAATAAAATAAGAGTGAAATGAAATACAAGTAAAAATAGAACGATTGAACAAAAAATAAAAAATATATTGCTTAATATAATTGTTATTTTAAGCTATTCATTTTTAATTCTCCCGAACTAGTGAAATCCAAAACCTTTCTTTCCCAAAACTAAATTCCTCCTAAAAATATACCCTTTCAGTTTAAATTACAGAAAGTTATTTTGGTAAAAGAATTGAGGACTGATGAAAGCACATCTTTGTGTACTACTCTGACAAACACAACGTCACTATGTTCTATTTCATTCTTCCACCCTTTCTTCTGCAATCGGAGACGTGGCCTTATCAGCTCCACCCAGTTCTTCCTCACCATCTCCCTCTGTAACGTCTCCAACACCTTCCTCAATTTTCTCCTCGTCACTTTCAACTTCCTCGAGCTCTTCATGCTCCTTGTTGAGATCGCTGGTAGCTGTAGACGTGGTTTCTTCCTGAGCATACGTCTTTGGTTTACTCCTCTTCTTGGATTTCTTCTTAACTTCTTGGATTTCCTCTTCCACAGCGTGATAGTCAGCGGGGAAGAACAACTGACAATCAGCTTCTCCAACGTCAGCATCAGGACTCATGTAGGAAGGACCTAGCTCTGCGAAGGCTTTCATGCATTCAGGGTTGGATTTTTTGAGTTGGATCACAAGTTTCTCTTCGCTGGAAGAAAATTATATAGATTCAAGTAGGAACTTTTCGTTTTTGAAGACATTGATGGACACATGGTAACAGATACCTCAAATTTTCAAATGCATTCAGACTCGGACAAGCGTAACTTACTAGGTTGTAGGAACTGTCCTCTCTTCGAATTCCTGAACAGTCTTGGCTATCAATGACGCTTCGCAGGGGACATCTTTGGTGAAAAATCCGTAAGCCATAACTTGCCCGGCATACTGCTCCACCAGCTCCATGACCTCGCGGGTTTTGAAAGCGTCATAGCAAACAGCAACATAGAAGGGAGTGGGTTCTACATCTGGAAACTTGTAATTAGCAGAAAGGTTCGGAAACAGATGCTTCAGGACCACGGCTTTGTTTAGTTGGTTTGGAGGTACCCATATCCCTGGTTAACAAATAGATGCTTTTGATATAGATTGTTCTTTGAGGACATTTGGTTGGGATCAACATTGACAAGAGTCTGCCCAAACCTCATTTGCAATGAATTCTCTTTGAAACCAGGAGATTGAGAAGAAGTTGAGAAGCTGGATGAATGAATGATAAAATACCACGGCAATGTATGCCATCTTATTAAAGGGTATTCGACGAACTTCTTTCCTTCATTAGGCTTTACAGTTTATTATTGGTTTCCTGTGATTCACTACCACCCAATCTGTCTGGCTCTGTGTTGCTTTGCCAGTAGCTAAAGTATCCATTATACAGCTTTATTTTGATCAGATATCACCTAACAAGTGTCCATTGCATGGTCTTATGATGATCTTATGAAGATTTTTCCAATATCTTTTTGTTTCTCATCGACCTATTTTCTGATCTTGATCCACAACAATGTTTTGGGGATCATTCAAAGTAATAGTGAACTGAAATTCAATGCCTACTAGCCTTATGTGATTTCAACACACCAATAGTACCGCTGGGTGAAAAAAAACTGAATATATTAGTAGGTGTCGTGGTGCCATAGACCACCCCCACTCCTTCATTTTTCGTCATCATTCATTCGTTCTCACTTCAACGAGATTTGGGCCTTGAGATAGGATACCAAAGGCCCCGATGTGGGTGGTGTCCTGAAATGTATATTGGGCAAACTGGTAGGAATTTCTCTAGAAGGACAATTGAACATAAACGTTTTTTCGAGTGAGAGGTATGAGTTCAACCAGTGTTAGAAACCAATTGACTCGAGAATTCGGGACTATTAACAAAAAGAATAAATATAGGTGAAGTGCTGCGTTTAATTTGTAGTCGGTGGAATGAAATTGTTTCGGTTTCTAGTTCATTAAATGCAAGATACTTTGAAATAACCTGGAATTGAGAAACCCATGTCATTGTCATTCATTACAAACCGATTTCATCGCTCACCTATAAGGATATTTTCCTCTCCTCCGTCAGCAATCGTCATTAACCTTTGACTGGGCGATTTTTCATCGCCAGGTGGTTTTCTGGTATTTCCGTACACCAGCTGGAGAACGACCTCGTCTATGTCGCCGTAAAGGTTTTCTGAACTTCTTTTGACGAGTAGTGCTAACGAGATTCTGTTGTTGGACATATCATTGATTGTTGTTGTTGAAAATTTAACGTCGAAGAACAACAGATCTTCAATCAAGTCCTTGTTGATTTTTACCTGAAACGGGGAAGATGAAATTTACTTTTTGGTTGTTTTGTTCACACGGTATACCTCAAGGATCGGTTCTCGGACTAAAGAAGGGTTGATCTTCTGTAAAGGTCGAGAGAATTGCTCAAGATATTTTTACTAGAAATTTAGAATGCATGAAAATCAGTATATTTCTCATTCAGTTTAGTTGTTAGAAGTTTCTCACTTTCTCGAAGATGGTGGAGAAATAGAAATTTCTGTAACTATTATATATTGTTGTTTGAGCAACGTTTCTCAACTGATTTTCTGAAATTCATACCAAGCTCCTTCTTATTGTGAATGCAACGCAAGACTGATGAAAATAAAAAACAGAAATTTAGTTTTTCATCGACATATTTTATTTTTCCTTCAATTTCAATAACTTCAACGAAAACTCCTTCAACAACAATTTACCAATATCATGCCTGGCTTTCTGAAACTTCCGGCTGGGGAGGCTCACCAAGACCCAATCCGAACAAATCATCGTCATCTTCTTCCTCCCCCTCTTCTTCTGTTTTATCACCCTCTTCCTCGGTAGCTTCCTCAGCTTCCCCTTCAGTTTTATCTTCAGCTTCCTCGACTTCGGCAGGCTCGGGTTCTGGTTCTTCCAGCTGGGATTCTTCCTGGTCCACTTCTTCGAACTGGAGGTCTTCTTCGTCGAGAGATTCGGCGTAGTCATCTGGGAAGAAGATTTGGCACTCCCTCTCCCCCTCGTCTACGTTGGGGGACATGTAGAGGGGGCCCAGCTGTGCGAGAGCGAGAAGGCATTCGCTTTTGCGCTTCGTCACTTGGATGACGAGTTTTTCTTCGCTGAAAATGGGATTTGAGGGTGTTTTATCCAAACTACGTAGCTGATGAACAACGTCTTAGGTGGTATTGCCAAAAATCTCTTCTCATTGAGAAGACGGATCTCTCTGAACCTGTTACTGGCATCACTTTAGTTGTTGCCAAACAAACTGCAGAAAGGGTGTCATAATTCAGGCAAAACCTATCAGGTTTGTCCCTTTGCAAGGCATTTATGCAAACCCCGATGTAGGTCACAAACAAAAGTTATACTGTGTTTTGGTTGGTTTTAACTGCAGCTGCGGCAGTTATCTTCAGTGGCGTTTGGAGATTGTAACCAAAGAAGACCACAGCAAGACCCGGAAGCCAACCAAAACATTGACGCTAGCTTGAAAACCACATTCCTATAGAAGTTATACTACAGCAGGGGCGACCTACGAACTCTACTCATAGATTACTGACGTCTGAATCAGACTTAGACTGGAGAGAGAGGTGGAAGGATAGAGAAGGCTCATTTGAACAAAATAGTGTCAGAATCGTCTTACAATGTCCTTTTTCCTTTGTTTTCCGGCAACTCCAATTTGCGCAGGCTCTTAGCAATTAGTTCCGCATCTTCAGGAGTCTCCTTAGTGAAGAAACCGTAATGCATAATCTCGTTAGGAAACTGATTCATGATTTGCAGCACTTCATTCATTTTCTTAACATCAAAGACAACAGCAATGTGCTTGGGGGTTTCCTGTAGAGGAGGAGCTTCGAATTCCTTAGCAAGTTTCGGAAAAAACAACCTCAGGCATGTAGCTTTGAGAAATTTTGTAGGGGGAACCCATATGCCGATCAGAGTGTGGTGTTCTTTACTGTCGTCATCGTCTTCTTTGGGTTCTTCTTTGAAGAGGAGTTGCTGGTAGGGGCAGTCTTCTGATCCGGGAGGTTTTTTGGGCTCGCCGTATACTAAGGTGAATATTGCTTCGTCTAGATCTTCTAATTCTGTGCCTGATTGATTAGGTTTGAGGAAATAAATATAATGAAATTGTTCAATATGATCATATTATTGTCGGTTTACAAAATGTCTGTATATTTGTATGTATTGTCTATACGGAGTCAATACGAACGGCTAAATGTACTGGTACTGGTACTGTACGGCTAAATGTACTAAATTTACTGGTTAATACCATGTAAAACCACTCCCACGAAAATAATGATTAGACCTGGTATGAATTTCTTACCTACATACAAAAAAAACGGCCGACGTTCTGTAACTATTTAGTTTTTATGCCATTCGAATTAACTTCGTATACAGGGTGTTTCAAATTCGATCCTCACCATAGAGATCTCGGAAACTATGAGAGATACAAAGATGGTTAAATTGGGGCAAAGTTGTATATCCGGAGATATCCGGAAAAAAGTTTTCTCAATGACTTGTACAATAACAAAATGTCATTGAGTTTAACAAATTGAAAGTCTAATTTAGAAATATCAAAGCCTATTACGATAGGAATTAATTTTTTTCAATATTTTCAGAAGAAGAATGATAACTTATAATACATTATTGGAAAGGTGAAATCTGATACTGTTCAAAACAGAAAGAATCCAATATAGCGCTCATAAAAAAAAAGTTGTTGATGGTGGCCGGAAGACGAAACGTCGGATAGAAAATCTGAAAACATCATTATGTAGCAGGGAAAAAGTGGCAACGTGGAAGTGCAATTCATTTTCGAATCCTTCGAAAAATAAAGCCATAAAAAAATAAAAACCATTTTCTGACATTTCTGTTTTGTCTTGATATCTCCGGATATACAAGGAATTTCAGAACTTTGTGAACGGCATGTTGTTAGTCAGGTAAATGCGCAACTTTGCCGTCGTTCAAGCATCTTCCTATCTCTCATAGTTTCCGAGATCCTAATGGTGAGTATCGAATTTGAAACACCCTGTATACTATACGTGCTTTTCATTCGTGTGACAATAAATAAATAAATGACGGAAATGAGGAATCAAACCAGGTGAGGGCTTCATCAAAAGCACTAGAAACTGTCTCGCCATCAAGTCTTGTAAAGAATGATCATCGAATTCGTCCTCTTTTTCGCAAAAATACAGTATATCATCGAGATGTTCTTGGGTCATATTAACCTGTGAATAAATTAAGGATCAGGATAGGTGGGAAAAAAACTGGGAGCCAAAGACGTCGCAATAAGGATGACACATTTGAAATTGAAACTGACCTTCTCCGTTTGATGGATAGACAGACCGGCCTCGTGAATAAGGTCTGACATCACTTCCATATACTTGTCCCTCGCGTTGGGAAAAATAACCACAACTCCGAATCCAGGAAGGTTATTCAGGATATTGTGACACTCTGCAACCTTTCTGTCGTGAATCTCCTTGGCCCGCTTTGCTTCCTCTTTCTCTCTCGCTTTTCTTGCTACACTTTCCGTAGCCTCGTAACGAGCTTTCTCCACATCCGTCATGTCTGCACAAAAGAGAGAAAAAAGCTTTAGCAGTTTAGGCAGCTGCAATGTAACTTTTGCTAGGAAATCTTTTCAATGGCACAGTCGAACAGTCCACTCCGAATGATCCACTGCATTACCTGATATGACACTCTTGGATTTTAGTGAGGATTTGTAAGGTTCAACGCATTTGTTCAAGTTTGGACACGTAGTTATATGTGACCAGTGTTTATAGTCAAATTTCATACTCAAAATACCTTCTTGGACAATACAGTGTATTTCGACAACAACAGCTGGTTATTTTTTATTTTTATTATTTCTCATCAACTAACCTGTGACCTCCAGAATGTTATCTCTTTTTTTCTCCCCACTCGCTGCCAATTTCTCGTTGTTTAGTTCTTCTATTATTAGCCTGGTCAATTTTGGGGCATTGGCACCAAACATGAGGTTCACCATTTTCCCTTTCTATAACAAGTAAAACATTTAGGCAGAGCTTTTTTCATATTTGAGAAGGAACGCATTATTTTTTGAAGAGGATCAAAGTATGTCGGAGGACATTTACAGTTACACATTACATTATGAAAATTGGTAAAGGTATTCCTATTCACATCATAGTATAGATGAGAAGTCTGACGAATTAACTAAAGCGTATTTGCCAGATTGTGAAAATTACTTCAATAACCCATGATGTCAACGTGAATATTCATCAAATTCTTTATTTCATTAACGAATCAATTCAGAAGTGTACTTGAGACGAACTATTTCTAATGATACATTATTTGAAACTTATAAAAAATCTCCATTCAAGGAATATTATGATTTGGAAAGTGAAATTTACTTTATTTATATTCTCCCGCGGGTAACAAAGTATTTTATGATACCAGGTAACTGGTCAATTTCTACTTATTTTTCAAAACAGGGTTGCAAAGAATGACAGAAAGTAAACTTTAGACAAACTCAACTAAGGCTTATATTCAATGACCCAAACTCATATTGAAGACTTACAGAGATAAACATCCACGTCGGTTCGCTTTTGTTCCTGAATCTCTCTAAAGCAGTGATATTATCAGATTTGGCCTGGAATTGAGAAAATATAAACATTTGTACAGTGTTGATTTCCATCATGGTACCATCGCCAGTTGCAACATGTCTCCTCCTATTTCGAGTTTCAGCTTCTTCAGGTTGGCAGACATGCCAAGGCAGGGACCGCACCAATCAGAATACACATCCACAACTGGGAAAATAAAAGTAAAGAAATTATTAGAGTTATATAGCAGGTGAAAAAAGTCTACTCATTTGTTTTGCATTCATGAGCATTAATGGTTCCTTCATCAGAGAAGATTTTTCAAGAAGAAATGAAGATCATAAAGCAGATATCATCTGGTAGCCATATTCCAGTCATCTCATTGAGAGAAACAGAAAATTGATCAGGAATGAACTACTTGTGAACACAAGATCTATTAACTGAGACCATAAATGTGCGGCTGGCTCCTGCTGGCGACTACGTGCCTTTGTATTTCTTTCTTTTGGTAACCAAGTGTTGCCAATCCTTATATTTAGCTGCACCATACCTACTGATGCTGGTCCAAAAGCCCGTAACACGTGTCTATGTATTGTAATTGTAATCAACCTGTTTTACAAGAATTACCCATTTACCTAATTAAGTTTTGTACTTAGCCACTGTTAATGTGTAAATTATTTAATTACTATTATGAATGGTGTGATTCCCATCAAGTGAAAAGACAGTGTATTTATAAAATTCAAAGAAGCCAGCAAACATTATATTACATAAAGCATTGTGCTGACATTGATTTTCTAGAGAAAAATCAATAGGCGAGAAAAAAATCCAAGACAGTTTCGGTATTGATTTCTATTTTCAACTTACCAATAAGCCCATCTCTCTGCAGCAGTTTTTCCCACTCTTCATCATTGGTAACTTCTGTTTGCAATTGCACTGCTTGGCCTTTCTTAGCCATTTTGACAGAGGTGAAGTATGTCCGGAATTTGTTGCACGTTGCTAGGGAATTGCACGTATTGATGTAACAATACGTCGACGATAGTCTCAAAAACGTATAGAAATAATTTACAGATGACCAAAAAATATTAACAGAAAAATACTGGTAGGTTTTTTTTGAAAGCAGAAATAAGGAAAACTGGAGCATTCGCGGCAGAATTTCTTTCTTAACCAGCTATAGATGATGAAAATATTACTATGAAATCTATTAATACGTTATTTGAAAGTAATTCTTGAGGGTAATAATGAGTTGCAGCTCGGCAAATCTAGCTGAATATTCAGAGTTCAGTAACATCGAAGAACTCGTGTTGCTAACAACGTGTTACCACGGAAAGTGTTGTTCTTGTGTTTACTGTTTGGGTGTTAAAATAACGGTTTGGTTTTGGCAAAAACTTCAGTAATATTCAGTTAAGTCTTATTCTTTGTCGTGAACTGTGACTTTTTTGTTGTCTTTGATACTTCCTTTGAACAGTGAGCTGAAAAACAAGGTTCTCAGTGGATGAAGCAGAGAAATTGTGAACAAGATTTATGCAGGCGGAAGCTAACAGCAGATGAAATAAGAATTCCTTTCGCGAATTAAAGAAGTAATAATAATGATACGTGAAATTGAAACCGATTTTGTATTTTAACTTTGAAGGTTCAAGAACGTGTAGCTGAGGACACAGTGGGTTTGCGTGCAAACTGAACGAATAATCAAATTAGAAGTGAAAAAAATAGAATATGATGAGAAAAGCCTTTCCAACTCTAAATAAATGATGCTGATTTAGCAATTTTACGCACATGTATGATTAATTATTTCCATATCGTAGAGAAACAAGGTTGGAGGTTGAAGTGATCATACCATGGATGAAGATGGTGATCTTTCTGAATTCGAAACACTTTCTGACGACTGTCATGTATCAACAGTAGGCGAGAAATGATACTCTAATCATTGAGCAACCATTGAGCAACCAAATATTATATGAATTATATCTATGTATCTTGTGGTGTGTTATTGTCAATATTGCAAGCAATGTTTTGTAGATTATCTCCCTATTATGTTTCCTGATCATTTCTATCAACTACGCATTCAATTATCTTTCAATTATTGGTTGTAAGTTTATCCATTTTTTCTCAATTCATTCATCTCTAATGAGACCATACGTATCTATTATTTTCAATTCAATATCACTAATTATTCCTCAATCATTTTTCACCTGCACAAACGGAAGAAATATAGTTTCCATTCCCTACTGATATGTGTGCAGTTGTCAACACTTGCCAAATTTATTTTACTTTCTGATAAAATTGTTAGTGGACACCATCTCTCTTTATCATTCGCGCATGTCGGAGGCACAGCTGAATTTGCAAAGCTGTGCTTGTAGGTTATGTTAGGATAGGTTAGGTTATGAACAAAATTTTAGGTTATGGATATCAAATATTCAAAGCTTATGTCTTTCAATTAGAGGAACGCTTTATTTCAATCATGTTTACAAAATTGTTCAATTGTTGAAACGTTTTTTCCACATGGCAAGTCAGTATTTCATATTCATGACAAACCTCTGTAACAATTTTCACAGAAACTGACTGCACACATAGAAACTTTCCAAATTTCCTGTTATTCTTGCATCGTTATGAAAATCATTCATCATAAGATTTCTGGCCATCCATAAAATTTGTCTATTCGGCTCTGAGACCAAAGTACTCTTAAATTATAAGATTGAGCTCTGATGCATGAACAGTTGGGTTGTTTTTCTGTTGGAAAATCCGAAACGGCAGTTTCTTCGACGCCACTTTTTCTAAGTTACCCTCCAATAGATTGATTAAGTCGTCTAGGTATTGGGTCTCCCTCAAGTCGTTCCTTAACGCATTTGTTTCCTTCAGCAGATTGTTAACCTTGACATCACACTCCTGAAAAATAACTCTTTCATAATTCTAAACACACACATTCCATTCAAAGAAACAATATTAGTTTCTAAGTATGAGTTCTAAATTGATCTGTGGTTGTATATTGTAAATTTCTGATGGCACAAAAAAAGTACTGGCGTCATATCAGGTGATCCAGTGAGCCATTTCTTGAGACCACATCTGCTTATCTACTGGTGAGGAATTTCCACAAAGCAAAATGAGTTTCAAGCCTTCTCAATACGAAAGGCTCTTTGAGAGTGTATAATACATGAAAAACGTGGTCCCTCAAAAAGAAACTACTTCATATGTATCAAAAATGTATACAATTATTGGGGAAAGTATGAAATAGTCTTCAAATCAAAGCAATTACGATATTTTCATTCATTGCTAGAAAATAAGGTTACAAATGCTCAGATAATCAATTATTTTTATATCTACCTACATTCATCAACTCTGTCTTCAATTTCTGTTCAAACTTTTGAAATGAATCTATATTATCATGGCGGGGCTTCCTTAGAATCAAAATCAAGTAACAAGGTTTCTGAACAGATGGCGTAGAAAATACTATATCGGAAGAAACGGTTCCTTTCAGCAGCCAACACGATTCCCAGACCTGTATCCCCTAGATTTCTATCTATGCAGATATGTTGAAGGAAAGGACAATCAAGACAAACTATCGACTTGAAGGAAATAGTTTTCTGTTCTATTGAAAGATCAATTCAAAACTGGTAAATATACTGAATCGTTTGATTGAATGGAACTGGCCGATACTTTATAAAAATCTATATTAAAAAACTAATTGATACAGTTTAATGTATGATTTTCACTATAGAGGGTTTTACAAAAACCGCGACACGTGTTTCGCTATACAATAGCTTCCTCAAGCATAAACTGAGAGTTACTTCTAAATTACAACCATTTTTGTAATGGAAAATGGTTGTAATTTAGAAGTAACTTTCAGTTTATGCTTGAGGAACGTGTTTCTCTATTTAATAGTTTCCTCAAGCATAAACTGAGAATTACATCTGAATTACAACCATTTTTGTAATGGAAAATGGTTGTAATTAGAAGTAACTCTCAGTTTATGCTTGAGGAACGTGTTTCGCTATACAATAGCTTCCTCAAGCATGAACTGAGGGTTACTTCTAAATAACAACCATTTTTGTAATGGAAAATGGTTGTAATTTAGAAGTAACTCTCAGTTTATGCTTGAGGAATGTGTTTTACTATTTGATAGTTTCCTCAAGCATAAACTGGGAGTTACTTCTGAATTACAACCATTTTTGTAATGGAAAATGGTTGTAATTTAGAAGTAACTCTCAGTTTATACTTGAGGAACATGTTTTGCTATATAATAGTTTCCTCAAGCATAAATTGAGAGTTACAACAATTTTTGTGATGATTGAGGAACGTGTTTCGCTATACAACAGCTTCCTCAAGCATAAACTGAGAGTTACTTCTAAATTACAACCATTTTTGTAATGGAAAATGGTTGTAATTTAGAAGTAACTCTCAGTTTATGCTTGAGGAAGCTATTGTATAGCGAAACGTGTCGCGGTTTTTGTAAAACCCTTTATAGTGAAAATCATACATAAACTGTATTAATTAGTTTCTTCTGCATCGTTTGGTTTCATTTCGCTTGTTTTTTCAGCTTTGATTTGATTGGTTTCAGAAATATTTTGTACCCAGCTCGATATATCGAAGATCTACTTGTAAATTCATGATGTTTGAAATCATTTCAGTTCATTTTGTCAATAGTTTTTTCAGCAATGAATAACAAATTCGTTGTTGCTTTGATTTGTTTAGGCCTTCCCCATTTGAAGAAAGAAACAGAAAAATGTGATCCCGAGATTCAGTTATCCCTGATGGGAAAAACGCCACGCAGGAAAATTATTAAAAGTAGATGAAAATACACCATTCTCAAGAATATTCGACAGAATTTTTCATTCCTTTTGATCGAGTACGGAAAATTTGGTGTTGGATGAGATACCCAGTTTGTTGGTATTTATTTCTTGAGAAAAACTTTTATTATTGTACAACCTTTATTTGAGACACTTTCTCATGATTGTTAACCATCGTGCTGTCTCAAAGAGAAATTAAGTTTACTATTACCGATTACTTGAATCAGATACTACCAACCCTCTTAGAAATCCCTAAATGCATGCCCTGATTCCGTCGCCGGCTGTCATAAAGCCCAAAGCCGAAGACTAGTTTACAAATCCGCTTCCTTGATAAATTCCATCTCTGGAGAGTACACATATAAAAGAGCTGAACATCCTGCCAAACACAGCATACTATAGTCGTGTGTCGACACTTACCTGAAAGCTTTTCCTAATCTCTGCCAAATGGTGATGCATTTCACAAGTCTCTTCTCTAAGACAGCGAATGCTTCTGTCTTCATAATCTAGGCCGATGCTGCTCAAAATATTCGATCTGTTCGCTGTTTGGGGGTAATCCCTGCTAGGCTCCCCTTTGCTGGAAGTGCCACTGTCGATGCTGTTGCCTGGGAAAAATCGTATAAGTAGCTTCAAAAACACATGATAGACTCGCAGTTCAACTTGAAGTAACAATGAATCTGTATTTGATGAATATGTATGATAGAATAAAAAGTGTATAACTACTTTTTTATGACACAAAAATCTACAATCTACGATCAGAGGAGTTCCTAGAAATAATAAATTGATCTATCAGTTACACAATCTCAGTCAACAATCTGATATCAACTTGTTGATTTGAGTTATTATTACTCGAAATTCAAAGAATTAGAGAAGCAATCCTTTCCTGTTTATTTATTTATTTATTCTCCATAACAATTGTTTCAATGTATAGTGCGAACTTCACAAGCTTGCCTCCTTTACGGACAAAACTCCGTTTAAAAATGGTACATTTTTGGAAATTGGATCAACCGTTCCTGCTATATTTCTGCCGAGTAACCAGCAGTAATATATACTTTCTTAGAATCTGCAAACGAACGAAAATTTCAATGAAAACGTACGCCAAAGTCAAATTTTGAATGAAGCTATGAGTTGTCGTGAGTTTCACTGGACAAGAGTTGTTCATTCATTTCAATAAAGTTTGTTGGTCACCCTGTATGTAAATATATCCTTAAAATGCAATGTTTTTCTTTCTCAAATCTGCAAATTCAACTGTTTTGCTGGAGATATATCGAGACATCGAAGTAAAGTGAACTCTGAAGCAACCAAGCGATCAGTTTCAAAAAACTGTAGAGTTAATTTTTTAAAACTGATTCCTTTCTTTATTTCTTTGAAACCTTCTCAATTTTTTTTGTTCGAAGATGAAGAAGTAGAAAACCATAACCTTTCTTTCGCAAAAATGGTTTGTAATTCCCACCAGTTTCAGTTAATTTCGTTCTCTAAATGAAGATGGCCCTAAATTTCTCAATCACCACTCACCTAAATCGCTAGTTTCCACCACAAATTGAGGCAAAGATACAGCTTTCTCCTCTTCAGGGGGGGACACCAAATCATTAGCGTTGCACTCGATATCTTTGAGTATCAGCTCCATCATCAGACTCAGCATGCTGTCCTCCTTGTTGGTGTGGTAGTAGAGGATTTCTTTGTACATTTCTTCCGAAATGTCTGTCGGTTCCTCCTTCAAGAAGTACTTGAAATTCGTCGTCTTCACGTCTAGGTTCTTCATTAGATCCTCAGCTGCCTCTTCCTTGATGAGGCTCTTGTACTTCGCGAAATAAACGACAGCGAGAAGCATCTTAGACTCGGGGTTGCAGGGCTTGATGTTTTTGGCCAGTTCTTGTTTGGAGGGGATTCTGAAGTTCAGTTTTTCCTTGAGTAGTTTTTCGATTGGGGAGTTGGGAAGAAGGCCCAGTTTGAGATTTGGTGGTTCAGATGCTTCCTCGGCAAGCTCGAGGTTCAGGAGGGCTTCCAATGCCTCTACTGAGTGATGTTTTGGTAGATATTTCTTCAGAGCGGTGAGAACTCTGTAAAAATGTCAAGTTGATTGCTCACCAATATCAGCAAAAAAAATTCAATGCTGAACACAACCCAGTCATTTGGAATATTTATGGGGGTTTTATCATAATCTTATTTCTGTGTGGAGAACAGGAAGTAAATCTACAGGCAAATCTCTGAAAATCTTATAAAACAAAATAATTAGAAGCATAGATAAATAACCATATTTGGAACTAATACTGAACGTATATGAATCAAACTATTTATTGGACTTGAATTTACTCTATAAACTAAAAATCAGCTGTTTCATTCATTTTGTTGAAATCAAACTTGAATCCTATTCGAATTGGATATATTCATAATCATAACACAAGGCAATCCAAATTACTGTTTAAGTAGAAATGAATTTTGGAAAAAGTCTGCAGAGAAATGACGCTCATATGGTTTGAATCTCACCTTTCATGAAGGAATCAAATGGAATTTTAGAAAGAAAAAGGGGGAAATTTTGTGTGGTGTTCCACAAGAATCAGTTTTGGGACCACACCAAGGAGTGGTGTGGTGCTAATTTGCTATCCTTCAATATCACTAAAACAAACATTTATCATTTAGATGTGCTCTTGATGACCTGTCATTCGGTGATAACTTAGTGATCAAGAACGAGACTCAATCTAAATTTCTAGGTATTCACATTGACAACAAGCTCAAATTTATTGATAAATTTGGTGAATACTTACCATTTCATGTTTCAAATACACTGTTACTTCTTAGAATTGAAATATTAATTTTTTCTTCTTATTTTGATTCAATCGAAAAAGCACACTAATTTTCTATCGAAAATACATTAAAATATCTGTTTTTTCAATCGATATGTTTGTTGTTCATTGAAATCTCTACTTTTTGATGGTATGATGAAAATACCTGGACCCACAACTATGACAGTTTCATTAGTATCTCTGGCAGTTTCTACTGAAATCTTAATTAAGTCAGCATCAGCATCTGCTGCTTGTTCACTGGAACATTCTTGTGACTGTAATCACATCATAAACGTTTTTATTATTTTGTCTTCGTATTTCCCGTTTGATAATTTTTTTCTCAGAAAATTTGTATTGATAATTGAACTCTGGAACATCATTTGAGATTTTTCTGCCCTCTTTCAGTCGAATTAACTGATGATACTTTTGTCACAGTAACTGATTTTGCAGTTTAGGAGTATCCATCGAAATTACGAAGCTGCTTGCTGCGTAATTTTTTTCACATAGCAAAGTATTTATTCGAAAAAACGAATATTTGAGATCCAAAAAATTACAGGGTGACTTACACACGGGTAATGACCTATGTTTCCAAATGGAACACTCTGTAATTGCTTTGAAGTTTCCAGAGATGAAACCTTACTGCGCTGATTCCAGAGTATTGAACGAAGTTCATCAAATTGATTTTCAACTTGTTTTATGAATTTTTTATCTGAGCTGATGTATTAAACAACAAAACTTTATTTTTCACGAGTCATCATTATTTTGTGTGAAGTAATTTTTTTTGTCGCCCTAAGGTAATTTTTCTTTTTGGGAACGATATTTGAAAATAATATGTTAAAGTTCATTCCATGTGGAAAATTTTTGTTAATTGAAACGTTAACGGGTTCATATACACTTCCAGAATTGGTCAATCGAACAAGAAGCGGGAAGAGGACCGTGACGTCACGGCCCTACTACATTAGATTTTTAATAATTAATTACGGGAAAACTACGGTACTTAGAGAGCTGAAACAAAGTGCACTGTTTTTCAATTTGAAATTTCTATCAAGTGAACTATAAACCAAAAATCTTGAAACAAGCCCATTGTACTACTTTGGAAGTCCTTGTTGAAAGTCCCTACAAATAGGGTGCTTCTAAAATTTGCACTTCAGGGAGCTAGTTTCACACGCCATCCTTATCAACGATCTCTGTATCGTTCCAAACTAACGTTATCCTTATCAGCACTAAACAATACAGAATCCTTAATCCGAGGTGACGCACCTCAAGTGCGTCTAATCTTGGAACGATCTCCAGATATCGATTATCAATTGAATTTCTCATCAAAAATGATCACTGGTTAATGGTCTCGGAATCCAAGTACTGAGAATTTCAGAACTTCGAATGTTCGTTTGGAATTCGAGACCTCAACTAGTTACTTGTTTTTTGGGCGTTATCAAAATAACTCCAAAATTTTTTTTCGCATTCATTTCGGTTTTTGAGAGCATTGTCTTGATCTCGGTGGATAATCTCGAATCACCAGGAAATAAGTTTGATTAATTTTAATTGTTATCATTTTTGCTTGATTCGTCTGATTTTTGAGATGTGTGATAAGTGAGTTGCCTAAATATGACTCGCAGCGGACAGATATTTCATTAGATTGTTTCAAACGTTTTGTCCGTTTGTCCGTCAGCATACAAGTTGGGTGCTCTGGACCCAATTTGTATGCTGACATACCTTGAAACGTGACAATTTCTATCGATCGTTCGAAGCGTGGGGCACCCTTTCCTCGAGGGACACCTATTTCTCGAGGACACCCTTTTCTCTTGGGGCACCCTTTTTGGTCAGCATACAAATTGGGTGTTCGGAACCCAATTTGTATGCTGACACATCTTGAAACGTGACAATTTCTATCGATCTTACGAAGCGTGTGGCATCACCCTTGTCTCGAGGGACACCCGTTTTCGTCGGCATACAAATTAGGTGCTCGAAACACAATTTGTATGCTGACACACCTTGAAACGTGACAATTTCTATCGATCGTTCGGAGCGTGGGGCACCCTTTCCTCGAAAGGCACCCTTTTCTCGTGAGGCACCCTTTTTTTCGTCAGCATACAAATTGGGTGTTCGGAACCTTGAAACGTGACAATTTCTATCGATCGTTCGAAGCGTGGGACACCCTTGTCTCGAGGGGCACCCGTTTTCATCGACATACAAATTAGGTGCTCGAAACCCAATTTGTATGCTGTCACACCTTAAAACGTGACAATTTCTATCGATCGTTCGAAGCGTGGGACACCCTTTTCTCGAGGGGCACTCTTTTCTCGTGGGACATCCTTTTTTCGTCAGCATGCAAATTGGGTGTTCGGAATCCAATTTGTATGCTGACACACTTCGAAACGTGACAATTTCTATCGATCGTTCGAAGCGTGGGGCACCCTTTTCTCGTGGGACACCCTTTTTGTCAGCATACAAATTGGGTGCTCGAGACCCAATTTGTATGTTGACACACCTTGAGAAACGTGACAATTTCTGTGGGGAACCCTTTTCTCGAGCTCTTTGACCTTTCTTATACTTTTCAAACCATCACAAACAGCGTCTACCGATCCTCGTCCTGGATTACTGTAGGTCGACCACTCCGGGGCTCATGACTCAATGATGTTCGCTCCTCTCCATACATCAGTTGGTATTTTGGTAATCAGTTGGTAATCGCCAAAACCACTCTCAAAAACCATCAACACTTCCAATTTGGATAATGATTTTCCAGGAGGCGACCTTGAATTCCATAGACCAGCCTTCTGAATATGCTTGACGTGACGTCTATACTGTATAGACACGCCTGAAGGAGGTATAGAATAGCGAAACACATTTTGCGATTTTGTGAATCTGTTTAGTGAAAAAATCATTATAAAGTGTTTCTTGAATAAATTAATTTCAACAAAGTATTTCGCCAAGTGAAAAATTCCGTTTCTTTCTGATGTTCCTATCGAATAATTAGTTGGCGAAACCTCCTCAATGACACAAACTAGCTTAACCTATTTAAGGTTTCATTTTTCCCGATTCTTCAAATTTTGGTCGTTGTTTTTAAGTTTTCCTAAAGAACTTTAGCTCTTCAAATTTCGTCGTTTGTTGCTACTTCAATATTGAGTAATTTTAATGAACATAGATTCATTCAAAGTTTTAATGTACTGGGGATAAAAATTTTGTGAAAGTACTTCCTAATTTATTTATTTATAAACATATAATTGGCCAGTAATCAGGATACATCTGGTGTTATGAACTACTGAGTATTCTTTGAATAATATAATCTTGTAGTTATTTATAACAATAACAAAATAATGAAAACAAAAAGTATATTGAAAATAAGTATAAAAATATGAAGACAGATATTGAAGGTAAAAAAATAGAAAAGTTCTACAAAACATATTGGTGTAAGTTTTTCTGATAACTTCAACATGGTAAAATTATACTGAATCAGCCTACTTTTTGAACAGTCATCTGCATAACAAAATGGTTTAGACTTTCACGGCTGAGGTTTTCAGTGTCGTTGCTTTTCGAGTTTGAAAGCCGTGGATTTTTTCAGAGGTTTAACCATCATGGCTTGCTGTCCGATGACTACCCTTTTAGGCTTCGTAAAGTCATCTGCAGTCATCTGCATGTTTAAATACAATTTTTGCAAATTTTTTTTGAATTCAGTTGTAGAAGCAATATTTGTCAAGTCTACAGGAAGTTTATTGTATTTCTGGATTCCTCTACAAACGAGTATATCCTGATTTTTCTTTGTTCTCATGTATATCTGTTTCACGATAATAGTCTAAAGCTCTCAACTATTCATTTAAAATGGTTCATCACCCTTTACACCCATGAATCTACTTCTGAGAAATATAAAAAATGAATCTGAATAATTTGGGCAAAATGCGGCCAACAGATAGTCTCGAACAATTCTCCGTTATTACAGCAATTATCAACGATTCGATAATAGTTATAATAACTGCACCTTTTGTTGCAAGGCTAATGTTGGCTTGTCTTATCATTTGCAATCATATTTCATTAATTGCTGAAGCTGAATTAAAAATGCTTATCATCGATGAATGAGCCTTCCATTAGTACCACTTCAAATTTCACTTTATGGCTTTCTATTTCTCTTTCTTTATACAAAATGTAATAATCTTTCAGAGAAAGGAATCATTTTCAGAAAACTAACTCTGTACAAAGATGTGTAGATCATTGACTCACTAACTGACCGACTCACCAACTCATCGAGTGATTCCTGACACACTGACTCACTAACAGACTCACTTACTGACCGACTCACTAACTCATCGAGTGATTCCTATCTTAGTGACTTGCCGACTGACTCAAACTCACAGACTGACTCACCAACTGACCCAATAACTCATCGACTGACTAACCGACCGACTCATCGACTGAGTAACTGATTGACCCATTGACTGATTCACCGACTGATCCATCAACGGACTCACTGAGTGACTTACCGAATCGTCAACTGACTCACCGATTGACTAACCCATTGTCAGACACATTATCTGACTCACAGCACTGAGTAAGTGACTGACTCACCGACTGACTAAACGACCGACCGATCGACTGACTCATTAACTGACTCACCGGCTGACCCACTCACTCAACAACTGACTGACGGAAGAACGGAATGATGAATGAACGAACGAACGATCGAACGAATGAAAGATTATGAATGGTAAAACTAGAACCTCTGGCGTAGATTCAATAAATGAATAAACGAATTATTAAATGAATGCATAAGAATGAACGGATGAAACAAATTAATAATGCGGACTTTATTGCTCACCCCGTATGTAATCCTCTCGATGGCGATAAACCCCGTAACGCGAATTTCACCACCACCCCTGGCAGTTCATCCTCCGGCTCAGAGATACCGCTTTCGAGACAACCATGGCCGCCGCGACGCTGGCGTCGGCATCGATTTTACGCGGAGATGCGCGAGCACTAGCGTGTAAAATCACAAAACTACGGATCCCCCACAGCCGAAGACCGACACATATCCCCAACGCCGTTCGACCGACATATCAAAGTGATTATTCAAGAGAAAAAATATTCGAATACCGCGACCGACCAGTGATGGGATTTTCCTGACGACCACGGCCCCGGGAAATGAGGAAAATGTTCGCGGCTCGTAGTGGAGAAGAGTGACGATGACGTTGAGACATCGGGGGCCCGGTCCCCCCGGGGTGCTACTGTTTTTCGTGTGTGTTCTGTTCCTTTTTGTGCCACAAAATGCCGGTGCCGAGAAAACCAAGAAATGTAAGTTGGCCAGCCACTTTTTCAGTAGACCTTGTGTCGGCGTTTTCAAGCTCAGTTGTACGGACAAAAAAGGCACTTACTCTCTTTGGGAATCAAGAAGAATCCCCAACCTTTATATCTACTTTCAGATCGTTCAAATTTACAGTAGGTTTCGTAAACTGGAAATTTATGGGATAAGAGGTCCTGCACTTTCTTTTATTCGTTCGTATTTGACCGATAGAAAATAATATGTATCTTCAAAGAGCGGCAAATCGGACATACAGGAAAATCCACAAGGATCTGTTTTGGGACCACTTTTATTCATCATATATATTAATGACCTTTTCTTTCACATGTACCCTCATGATATGGTGTCATATGTGGATGATGCTACCTATTTCTCACCCCAAAAAATATTGTTAGTCTCCATACCACTATCAACCAAATTGAAGACAAAGCTGAGATATGGTACAATTATGATAAGCTTAAACTGAATAGACTGAAAACTCAAACCATCATCGTCTTCAGTCAAAATAATATACGAACTGTAAGTTCTGTAAATCGTTTGGGAATACAACTAGACGACTCGTTAAATTGGTCCACTCATAACGAGAATATATGTAAAACGATATCGTTCCATATATTTCTTCTGAGGCAGATGAAACGGATTTGTAACGAAGTTGCTCTACTTAAAGTCTACTGTTCTCTGATTCATAGTAGAATTTCTTATGGCATTATTTTATGGGGTAATTCCAGTTCAGCAATACCTGTTTTTCGTTTACAAAAAAAGCATTGAGAATCATTGCAAATGCTCCAGCATTCGACCACTGCCAACCGTTGTTCATTAAATATAATATCATGCCTTTGCCATCTTAATATATATTCCATTGTATATTGGAGATACATAAAAATAATCAAAATTATGAAATACTCTCTCATAACCATGAATATAACACCAGATCTGGCGACTTATTGAAAATATCCAAATTTCATTTGACAACATCCAAAATGAATTCTTTAAACTTGAATTTATATAATAAAATTCCGTCAAAATTAAGAAGTCTTAATTTTAATCAGTATTGAATTAGACTACAAACATTATGTAACGTAGTTGAATAAACGAATCTATCTATCTATGTAACGGGTACGTTATTTTTGTCGTAACTCACAATTTGAGTAAAATTCTGACACACCACAATTTCTACTGTAAAACGACATTCTTCTAGCATAATTTGGTGGATATCTGTCAAATCTCACTTTTCAAATTGACTGCATTTTTATAAGAAGGCAGGTGGCAAAATACCCAAGAAAAAAAAACAATCAAAAAGGATTTCTTGGGGAATATCAGAAACAATATACAGTGTGATCAAACTCAAGTCGGAACTATTGCTAACTTCCTCATTATTAAAAATAGAGTCCGGGTAAATCAGAAAACCAACAGTGTTTATAATGTTTCAGATTTATCAAAAAAATTGAATGGAAAACCCTGCATATTCATATCTGAATGGATTGCCAATTTTTTCTCAACTCAAAAGGCGATAATGTACGCCTTTTTCACTATTCATCAACCTTGCAACCGAAAACTTGAAACCAAAACAAAATAATACATTTCCAATTCAATATTGACTAGTTAACTCATTATAGAAGTACGTTTTTAGGGTATTTTGTTTGTTCCTCATTTTGGAAGGCGGTGTACAACAGTTAACGTAGTGAAACTTGTTTGTCACTTTGACGAGAGATGTCATAAGCTCCCTCTTAAGTCGTTGTTTTTCGAGTAAGTTCATTCTAGTTGAAACGGTTTTGACTCGTTTAAAAAAAAAGTATATTCTTGAAGCATACATAGTGCATCGAAAAAATGCTTGCCGTGCTCATGAACGATATAATTTTATGTTTACAGAGGAAATGACTCCAGATCTCCATTTTCTAATATTATACATTGAAATCAGGTCTAATGAAAATGATTTTCTCAAGAGTAAGTCAAAGAGAACGATGAGAAGTCGTTGAGAATGTCGGCATGTCGTTTGGCTAATGCCATGCAATTTTTTCGTGAATTTTTGGCATTAGCCTGTTCCAAAAAATGCTGAATTTCGACAAAAAATCTGAGCAAATCTGCTCATCAGAATTGAAATTCACCTTATTTTTTGAACAGGGAAAAAGTCATCATAACCTCATGCGAAATATCCCTAGTAATTCTCACATTTCTCCAATTTCGTTTTGAACTAGTTTTGCTTACATCATTTCCACGGGTTCGGAAAATTGAACGACTCTATACCCTCGTTATTCTATTCTCGTTGAGTTATGACCCGACGAAATGTCCATTTCTGATGGGATAGTCATGCCACTGTTTTAAATTCTTACAGCCAACAAATGATAAGTTTATCTTGAACTCCTCAAATGTTTGAAAACATTAATGTTTGGGTTAATAGATGCTACACTTAAATCAATAGTTTATTCCTCTTCAACTAGTTTTAGCATGTGTTTACGATCAATCCTTAACGCAGTTGATACACTGTTGTTGTTATTTTGAAACAAGTGTTTCAAGTAGCGCTGAAAGGTTTATTAACAAACAAACAAATAAAAATGATGATGTTCTTCATGCTGACAAGGAAAGTAGCGAACCTCCATAAAATTGTTCGAGAATTTCAAAATATGAAGAAGCTTTGTCATGAAAGTAGTTAAATAAAGCATAGAATACCAAAATAACTAACAACGTAATAATTTCGGTTTTGTCTATAATAACCGAAACCAACTGATCATTATAGTGGATATATCTGTGGTTTAATTTGATTTTTCTCAAGGTTGTCTTGAATTTCAGTCTAATTTGACTAAAGTTTGAATTTTTTGTTCTCCTTCATCATTCAGTATGATTCCTCTATTATTTATTAAACTACCAGTTTATTTTCTAGACTCTTATGAAAAAATTCAAGTGCTAGCGAAAGAAATATTTTAAAATATACGTTATTTTTCATTTCATGGTAGTTTTGTAATAAATCTGCATCATTTTGGTTTCTCAAGAGCTCACATCTAAGAATTTTGAAAGTATAACTTGGCTAGTCTATGCTCATTAACGTCGAAGAACTCGTGTAGTGGTCAACTGCGATTCACTCGAAAGGGCACCCACTGAAGTACTGCTTTAACCCTTACAGAGTGGAATACATTTCCCGGATGGAAACGTCTTTGCTGTAACAGGCACCGCAACAATTTTCTTGTTAGCTTTGATTGGGTTTGAACATAACCGCATTTGCACCAATTGAATGTCTATTATTCTGACAATACTTTGTAGGTAGTTTTAGTCCCTAATTATAAGCATTCATTGTTTTTTTGGGAAAATATACTTGATTTAATCGGATTACTCTTTGACTCTGTGATATAGTTGTAACATTTGAAATATATGTATAATTTCAACTGAAGGTCTATATGATTCTTGTTTCTGTTGGAGAATATTATTTTATTATCATTCCATACTTTTCAAACAAGTGAAATAAGTATTATTATTATTATCATTTCGGAAACCAATGAAAACATCGTGACAAATCATAGTTGATCTAATTAATAACTGTTGAACTATTTAGAGAAAAACTATGTTTCAAATCGAAGGGGGTAAATTTTTAGGAGGCATTATTCTTTGGAAAAAAACTTCCTTTGAAAGACGGGGTAGTTGAAGCCAAAAACATTTTTTCCAAACTTTGTTTCCTGAATCGAATGTATGTCTCAATATCTGATTAAATACTTGTCAACTACAAGATAATCCAGTAGTTTGGGAATTCCAGGATGATGAATTGAGAATGTAGACCCTTCAACAGTTGTTCAAACAAACTGTTTACAATAGTCATAAATAGAGAAACAGCTTTCATAATTTCTATTTCTGCAGAGTACACTCTTTTGACAAAAATTCAAGCGGGATTTCTGGAGGACATACAGGGTGTAACTTAAGTACTTTAAGATATTCAAGTGACGTATTTCTGAGACAACTTTGAGAAAAAAATCTAATTGAACTTGTGTCCGAAAATGCTTCCTGTTGGAGATACAGGGTGTTGAAATTGATTTTTTCTGTTTTTTTTAATAACTTTTGCAAAAATAAGTTATTTACACGAAATTTGCTACCAGGGGTTTTTATGACATTTGATAGAACATTTGATAGAAAAAAGTTGTTCATTTTGACGAGATCCACCACATACTTAGTTTTTGTAACCACCTTCAGCGTTGTTGAGGAAGTGTACCTGTTTCACGTGAAAAAATACTACATGATACATACTCGGCAACTGCTTGTCTGTCTGTCTTAATGCGATAAACTCAAAAATTACCTAGGGGTTTTGTTAGGTTTTCAAGAGGAGAATTTATGTGCATCTTTTATGTTTCGTATAAATTGAATTATGAAAATGTCATCACTATGATGTCGTGGCAGCGATTCTTCCCTTAAGACGTCTTGATGCATATGTATATCTTAAGACAGCTCACTGTATCCATTTTATTGTTTAAAATAATAATCACATCGACTTCTTGGTCACTGTTACTGTCCTAATGAAATCGAACCAATGGAATCAAATATTCAAATATGATTGTGACTGAATATTGAAACTTTGCAAAAATTCTGCTGCAGAAACTCGCAGGTTTAATTTGATATTATGATTATGACAGTGACTAGAGACTACTGAAATAACTGGGTTTTTTTTAACCCAGTTAGAGCAATTTGAAATAAATAATGAAAGCGTACGCTAGATGTTACATGGAAATCAATACGAAATTATGATTTCACACGTCAAAAACACCCCGGGTATCAAATTTCTTGCAGATAACTTATTTTTTGAAAAGTCGTTTCTAAAAAGCCAACAAAAAAATCAGTTCCAACATCCTGTATCTCCGAAAAGAAGCATTTCCGGCACAAATTCATATAGACTTTTTCTTGGAAATATCCCAGGATACTTTTGTTACACCCTGTATAATGAAAAATTACCTGGTCTCCTTGTTATACTGGTCAGCCCTCTCGAAGCCGTCGTCCACCGCTATTTCACTAAACGACCACCCGAAGTCGTTGTCATTTGTATCCTCCGTGAAGGTACCGTCACTTTTGTAAACCCTCATTCTTGTGCTACCTCTAGAAGAACACTTGAAACACTGACCAGATTTGGCAATGTTTCGGATATAGGCTCGTAATTAAATTTGTAAGGGCTTAAGGATAGTGGGGATAGTTTAGGTAATCTTCAGGGGAGTTTTAGCAGGTTTCACTGGCCCGAATGGAAATATCATTGGTGGTTATCCCATGATATCGGGTGTGTTTATTATCAGTGTATGAACCTTGTTTGTTTTCGATGAGTGTCAATCGTATTATTTCTGTTCAAGTAGTTCGATATACTCTGATAGAACAATAATGACTGGATAAGTGGTATTCTTTTATTTGGCAAATGTAATTATGAAGATAAGGATACTGATAATAGTTGGTTGTGTTTGTGGGCGAACCCCTAAAATTTTGAGCTGTTCAGTTATGATATCATTTAGAACGTCTTATAATAATAAGAATAATGTTGATAATAATAATGATGAATTTATTTAATTTTTCAGTACAAGGAGCAGTCAATATCAATTTGAAAAATCTGAACAAATTCAGAAAACTCACAAAGGACACCCTGTGCTTGAGTATTACTGTTTTATTCACAATATTCACATTATAAATATTATAAATCAGGTTGGTTGACAATTTAGGTTATGAAAATGTAAAGATGAGGAAATATTAAATGTTAGAAATGTTGAAATGTAAAAATATANAATAATAATTTTTTATTAATCGAGAGGGCGCTGCGTACGCTGTCATTATTTATTTCAAATTGCCCTACTTTTGGTACTAATTCTCACGACTTTCCCAAGTAAAAAAGGTACACTTCAGTTTTCGAAATACAAGTAACTGAAGTTGCAAAAAACTTATGACAAAAACTAACCATGTTTTGAAAAACTACAACAATTTATATCTATAAAACGAATGATTTTTCGATAAACATTTGATAGAAAAAGTTGTTCATTTTGACGAGATCCACCACATACTTAGTTTTTGAAACCACCTTCAGCGTTGTTCAGGAAGTGAACTTTTGTTACGTTAAAAAACACTACATGATACATACTCCGCAACTGCTTGCCTGTCTGTCTGTCTGAATGCGATAAACTCAAAAATTACTTGTTGGGTTTTGTTCGGTTTTCAGGAGGAGAATTTATGTGCAATTTTTATGTTTTGTATAAATTGAATTATGAAAATGTCATCACTATGATGTCGTGGCAGCGATTCTTCCCCTAAGACGTCTTGATGCATATGTATATCTTAAGACAGCTCACTGTACCCATTTTGATGTTTAAAATAATAATCACATCGACTTCTTGGTCACTGTCACTGTCCTAATGAAATCGAACCAATGGAATCAAATATTCAAATATGATTGTGACTGAATATTGAAACTTTGCAAAAATTCTGCTGCAGAAACTCGCAGGTTTAATTTGATATTATGATTATGACAGTGACTAGAGACTACTGAAATAACTGGGTTTTTTTAACCCAGTTATAGCAATTTGAAATAAATAATGAAAGCGTACGCTAGATGTTACATGGAAATCAATACGAAATTATGATTTCACACGTCAAAAACACCCCGGGTATCAAATTTCTTGCAGATAACTTATTTTTTGAAAAGTCGTTTCTAAAAAGCCAACAAAAAAATCAGTTCCAACATCCTGTATCTCCGAAAAGAAGCATTTCCGGCACAAATTCATATAGACTTTTTCTTGGAAATATCCCAGGATACTTTTGTTACACCCTGTATAATGAAAAATTACCTGGTCTCCTTGTTATACTGGTCAGCCCTCTCGAAGCCGTCGTCCACCGCTATTTCACTAAACGACCACCCGAAGTCGTTGTCATTTGTATCCTCCGTGAAGGTACCGTCACTTTTGTAAACCCTCATTCTTGTGCTACCTCTAGAAGAACACTTGAAACACTGACCAGATTTGGCAATGTTTCGGATATAGGCCCGTAATTAAATTTGTAAGGGCTTAAGGATAGTGGGGATAGTTTAGGTAATCTTCAGGGGAGTTTTAGCAGGTTTCACTGGCCCGAATGGAAATATCATTGGTGGTTATCCCATGATATCGGGTGTGTTTATTATCAGTGTATGAACCTTGTTTGTTTTCGATGAGTGTCAATCGTATTATTTCTGTTCAAGTAGTTCGATATACTCTGATAGAACAATAATGACTGGATAAGTGGTATTCTTTTATTTGGCAAATGTAATTATGAAGATAAGGATACTGATAATAGTTGGTTGTGTTTGTGGGCGAACCCCTAAAATTTTGAGCTGTTCAGTTATGATATCATTTAGAACGTCTTATAATAATAAGAATAATGTTGATAATAATAATGATGAATTTATTTAATTTTTCAGTACAAGGAGCAGTCAATATCAATTTGAAAAATCTGAACAAATTCAGAAAACTCACAAAGGACACCCTGTGCTTGAGTATTACTGTTTTATTCACAACATTCACATTATAAATCAGAACAGTGAGAGTTAAATGAATTTGACAATTCAGGTTATGAAAATGTAAATTACACAGTTTTTACAAACACTTTTATTTCTGGGAAAAATACTCTGCTTGATAACTACATTTCCATTATAGTTAATCTCCCATCCTTCGCAGACGTAGTGGAACTTTCCAGAAACTACGGAGCAGGCTTGGCGTGAGTATCGATCGTAGCAAACGTTTCATAACTACCCAAGATCTTGACTAGGCTAGGGCAACAATTTTCGGGAAGAGAGAAAAAACTCAAAGTCAAAATAATAATTAATTTGCGATCCTGGTGATTTTGTCTCAACTTATTTTTCTTTGTATCTGGAAACCCGGACATAATTATCGTGTGACTTTCATGTCCCTAGTGAAACATAATTTTCCTTATTCTCAGTATTCTTGTATCAAACCAGGGGTTGCATTGAACAATGAAATGGGTATAAGCAGATGTACATTCTGAAATAAATAAAGGGAATTATTGAGACCCTCTTCCCTCACAGGGTCGCTGGTTCAGATCCGGCTCGAAGGACCAATGTTGAACTTTATGGTTCAATAAACCTGTTTAATACTGTTTCAAAAGCAACTTTCATGCAACTTGACTTACAAAAATTCGCAATATTGAATTGTAAATAAATAATGACTAAGTAAATAAATAATGAGCTGTATACAGTGTCTTCAACATCCTCCACCCTGTGAAGAAGTTGAGTCTTCACAGGGTCGCTGGTTCAGATCCGGCTCAAAGGACCAATGTTGAACTTCATGGTTCAATAAACCTGTTCAATACTGTTTCAAAAGCAACTTTTATTCAACTTGACTTACAAACTCTCTCAATATTGAAGTGTCTTAAAACAAGTGACTAATCTGTCAAAAATATTGAAATTATATACAGTGTCTTCAACAATCATAGCTTCAGTACTGTCTAGCATATAATGAAATAGTTTGAAAGTCTAACACTGATAATTTTTTAATAATTTCTGATAATGACGGAAGAAATAGGATAATATTTATTCATATCATGTCACTTTCAAAAAAGTTGTTTTTGTTGGTGAAATAAAAATTTTTTATTCTGTGGAAACATTAGAAATGTGTGAATGAAGGTCTGTATGGAATAATGGTGTCGTTTTATGAATTTTCAAAGGGTCTTTTTTTCAAATCCCAATTTTTGAGTGGCCATATCTCCAAAAGTAGCTCGGAACGCCAAGTTTTTGATAACATACACAAGATAATTATTTTTTTTCAACTAGTGGAGACTGACAACCGAAATTACTTCAAAAAGAGCAAAAGTGTATACATTGGCTCGTGTCCGATGTTTTACGTTGGTCAAACTGAAAGAGCATTCAAAGCAAGCATGAAAGAACATATGAACAGTGACCAGAGGTGGAAGAATACCTCTCCTCAATATATGATATTCATTCTGATTGTTGGTAAGGGTCAGATCTAAGGAATTAATCTGTTTCTCTATCTCTGTTTCAAGTGTGAACTATTGAGATTATTCATGCTATTGTATGGACCTAAAAATACAGTAAAGTGTAAACTAGCAGTAAAGTATGAAAAACCTATATACAGAAATTAATTTCGGTAAACTAGTCAATCCCTCTATGAAAATGAAACACTCCAATTTGAGGACGCTCATAACATTGCAACTCTCCCGTCATTAAAAAGCCTGGAAAGCGGCGAAATTGTTTCGGAAACCCGTTCCATTAGCCAATTTATCACTTTTGTCATTCGCCCGTGTTTTCCAAAGCACTTCAAAACACGACGATGAAAGTTATAATAGCAATTTCCGGGCAACAGATTAATTTCTCGCGAATTGTAATCTTGTTTACGAGAAAAGAATGGCCCTACAATATTACAGCTACCTACTGCGGGAACTTTTCCTTCTGTTGCCTCAAAAGTGGTGCAAAAACTTCGGAGCAACTCTCGAACAACTTTTAATGCAATTTAGAGGAGTTTCAGATGCAGCCCGTACAGTTTTGTGATTGAACCTACAGGGAAAACATTAATGTTTGGGTTAATAGATGCTACACTTAAATCAATAGTTTATTCCTCTTCAACTAGTTTTAGCATGTGTTTACGACCAATCCTTAACGCAGTTGATACACTGTCGTTGTTATTTTGAAACAAGTGTTTCAAGTAGCGCTGAAAGGTTTATTAACAAACAAACAAATAAAAATGATGATGTTCTTCATGCTGGCAAGGAAAGTAGCGAACCTCCATAAAATTGTTCGAGAATTTCAAAATATGAAGAAGCTTTGTCATGAAAGTAGTTAAATAAAGCATAGAATACCAAAATAACTAACAACGTAATAATTTCGGTTTTGTCTATAATAACCGAAACTAACTGATCATTATAGTGGATATATCTGTGGTTTAATTTGATTTTTCTCAAGGTTGTCTTGAATTTCAGTCTAATTTGACTAAAGTTTGAATTTTTTGTTCTCCTTCATCATTCAGTATGATTCCTCTATTATTTATTAAACTACCAGTTTATTTTCTAGACTCTTATGAAAAAATTCAAGCGCTAGCGAAAGAAATATTTTAAAATATACGTTATTTTTCATTTCATGGTAGTTTTGTAATAAATCTGCATCATTTTGGTTTCTCAAGAGCTCACATCTAAGAATTTTGAAAGTATAACTTGGCTAGTCTATGCTCATTAACGTCGAAGAACTCGTGTAGTGGTCAACTGCGATTCACTCGAAAGGGCACCCACTGAAGTACTGCTTTAACCCTTACAGAGTGGAATACATTTCCCGGATTCNATTGACTATATATGAATACTCATCATTCAGTATGATTCCTC